GGAGGACGGACAGCGCTGAGAGCTTGTCGCCGGCGGTCCCTGGCCAGCTCCAGGTGGTGATGGAGGCCTGTTCCCCCGGCGAGGTACTTTGGGCGACTTTGTGGGTACCTGGGCTGTGTGCCTACCGACGCAAGTGGCAGTCCATGTGCCGCTAGGAGGGAAAGTAGGTTTGATCTGGATGGAGAGGGGCGGTCGCAGACTGCAACAGCATTAGAGGGTAGGCAGGGATCATGCTGTTGAAGCCCTGGGAGAAAAACGACATTTGATCACAATATTGGATGAGGCTACAGCCAGTCAAGGATTCTGGCTTGCTGAGAATGATGACGTTGGTGGGCAAGTTCTTTTGGTGGAACATTCCATACAGTGCACCAGATTGGAATATTTGTGCTTCTTTTCCCCTTCCTCTGTTTTTCCTTTTTTGAACCCCCTCCCAACCTTCTTTTGGCCGTGCGCCCACTGTGTGTCTCTCGGTCGCAGTGGTGGTGTGCGAAAGGCACATTACCCAGCAGATGCGCACACCAATGAAAGGGACGAGCCAGGGGTGGTCTCTAACACCATCAATGGCAAGATTGCACTTGCAAGCTAGCAATGTGGCCTAAGCAAGGAAGAGCAGGAAAAAAAAAGGAAAGAGATTTGGCACTTGCAGGCTGGAGGAAATCTGGCGCCAGAGAAGCTAGCGTTTACCCACAAAAGAAAGGAAACAGAACCCCCGCTAGAACACACCCGACCCTTTTCACAAATCAGCTGCACGTGTCGCATGGATCACTGCAATCGAAGGGGTGTGGAAGGTCTGGGCCAGCAGGCAGGCAAGTCAAGCTGCCGTCTGCCTGCGTATCTGCTACCCGGGCAATCTATCTGCCTATCTGAAGGTCTCCATGGAACTCAATCGAAATGGATCAATTAGGCACGCGATGTCGGCGAGCAGGACAGCCCTAAGCACCAGCGTCTTGGCCAGCTTTCATGGGTTTTAGGCACTTTAGGTGCCTGCCGTTCAGCCTCCCGCGCGCCGGAGCTGCCAGCCTACTGCTAGCGAGCAGCTGCATCTCGCTGCGAGTGGGGTCTCTCTCGCTGTGCTGCGGCGCTGGTCGTGATGAGATCGCACCTGTGCTAGGCGCTACTACGCATTGCTGAGATCAGACCCGGATTTCCGAAATGAAAACAGGTGCTGCTTTCAATATGGCCCAAGGCCCTATGATTCAGCATTCCGCAGGCGTATCCCGAAATCGGACTCTGACATGGCAGCAGGAATGCTTCGGAAGCATAAAAGAAGCAGAGGTAAATTGGACTGGCATGATGTGTATTCTGCTCACATTTGCGCTAGGGCCTCTTATTGGCACAGCTGCCATTTTCCGATTATCTAGCTTTAGCATCTGGCTCGGCTTGGCGATATTTTTCTCTGGATGTTTCAGAATTCCAGACACTCGTAGCTCACGCCACAGGAGTCACCCAACAAACACAGTGGCAAGACCTGGTCGCACGTTCACGCACGCGACGGCTTGGGGAAACCCTGCTGGCTCGTCGTACCTGCCGGCGACCCTGATGGAATTAAGACGGGGAAGGAACAAAAGAGGGAAGAGGCCGAGGCGTTCCATCCCACACAGAGCGGCGTAGGGGAGCCAGCACCGATGGCGCTGCAGCGAGATGGGGATTCTAGATCAGAGCAGCAGTCTTCTCCGATGATGGTCTCTGATGGAGGACCCAGCCCAACAATGGTCCAAAAGGGAGAGGGTCAAGGCGGGGAATGACCGGGCTAGGGTGCACGAATGTACCTCATTGTACACATCTTGTTCCTCCGCCCGTTCAGCGTGCGGGCTTCTGGTCGTGTTCTAGAAAAAGTCCATGGAAGCTCAGCTGCCCCGTGCCCGGGCGCGCGTGGGCTGGGGGGGCCTATAACGTGCTATAGCACACCCAATTGCCCCATCCACCCCCTGTAGCTCGCCCCCTGCGATCATCTCCCATTGGCCACTGGCGACGCCCAGGTGCATTTCCCCAAGTACAAGGAGTGACCTCTGGGCCAAGTACCTTTATCGCAAGAACTTGTTGTCCCTGCACCTGGGAGTGGGTAATTACCGTGCCTTCTCACGCACTTCCAATGGCTTGACCTTGCCTTGGAGACGGGCCCAAGCAGCAGTCAATACCAGTCCATAGCTCCTGCCAGCTATTTCCAACCAGGAAAGGCCTCCGTGTGCAGCCCACTGCGATTTATCTCCCACTGGAACCTAACCTAGCGACCGGATGTGCCGCGATGCAGCGATGCCTACGGGCGCTGGAGCCGCTACAACTCTGCCTCCCCCGCCCACACTGGGATCTTGCTGGTTGCAACTTTGATTACTGCCGTCTCCAAGACACCGAGCCCAAGACTAGCCGTTCCAACTACCTACTGTGGTTTCCCGGCTGCCTGCGCCCTCCAAGCGATTTTGCCACACACACATGCATTTGCCTGCTCATCTGCCTCTACCTCGCTCTCTTACTGTCATGTAAAATCATCGTCAACTGCGCAGTGCTGACCCAATCAGACCCGCCATGGTACGAGACATGTTTTCCGGGGCAGGCAGTCAGGCAGGCAGGTAATCACGCCGTTTGGCTGGCTGTGTGTATGCGCATATGTGTTACACGTGTAGGCTCACTCGAAGAAGCAAAAAAGAACCCAAGAGAGTCAAGAGGCGCACAGAGCCAGGGCGAGGGCGACCAATTGGAGCCATCGCCATCCCATTCGCAAGCCCGGGGAACTGCAGCGTCGCTGTGCAACTCCACACGGATATGCAAAACCGCCTGCCGGAAGGCGGAATGACGGAGGATGGAAGCTTCTGTGCCACATCACCTAATAAGAAATAGGTAGCCACCACTTCCACATCACGTCCGCATGCGTGCGAGATAGCACGGGCGCGCAAGATAGCTTGAACCTTCCGCCGGTAGCTTGCCGCCGTTGGGGTCGACTGGCCCGTTGATCAATTCCTCGCCGCCCGGGCAAATTACAAATCCATCCCCCACGTCGCATCGCATGGGAAATGCCGTGCCAGTTGCTGCCACCGGTGCATACATATGCTCTGGTGCCGATTCGCATGTGTAGGGCGGCCATTAGCACATACGCGAGTGTGCCCTCCATGCAATATGCCGGTATGGACGCAGGGAGGAATAATCATGGATGCCGTAATGCCACGCGCCAATCGACCTCCACGCGCTGCAATTGGCTGTGACGGTCATCTCTCTGGCTAATTCTTCTTTACCAGTGTCGAACCATGCAAGTTGGATTCTAACCGGAAGCTGAATGCGGCGACTGGCCAGCGAACACAATCCTCAGGATTGACTCCCCCCCAATCCTACATATGAGCCTACCGACAGCTGAAACCAACAGATTGGAACCCTCCTCATGCGCCGCTCCTTAACAGATCTACCTAAGCAGGCAAGGCACGCTTCTATCGAGCAGAGAATGCGCACGTAAGCGAGCGGAAGGATCCTGGGGAGTCATGTCATCTCGTTAGCGAGGCCCCAAGGTCCCTCTAGGGCGCATCGTGGGCTGAGATGTGACCAGCTTTTTGATGGGGCTGTTGGCCCCGAGGTGCCACAGGAGGAGCAATCGGATGACATCAAGGCATTAAGGACTTGACCATCTCGCCGATCTTTCATCTGCCCAAAGGATTCGCATCTGGCCCTGACGTCTGACTAAGGAGCACCTAATCGCCTGGCGCAATGACACCAAGGCCCTTCCTTCGGGCGTCGTTTGGGCCTCCTCGGGAAGGAATCTCAGCTCGTGGCATTCGGATCTGAAACTATCGGCACAGACCTCTTATTTTTTGTTTTGCTTTTCTCTGCCGGGGTCCCCCCTCCCTTTCCCCTATCCGGGGATAGCATTCCTGTAGCCATCATTCCCGTGTTTCCACGCTAGAGACGAGCGAAAAGCAATTGCATCCAAAAGCAAAAATAAAACAGAAATGCAAAAAGTCCACCCTGAATACCGAGATAAATAGAGCGGAGCAAATGCTAGTCACAAATCATTTTTTTATATCTTCTTGTCCCTGGAAGAATGTGAAGGGTGGAATGAAATATGGCACACCAAAGCGCTCTTCGCGTACGGCAGGGACCTCGTTTCTAACAAAACACAATAATAAGAAAATAATAAAATTTTCCACGATATTCAGCTTGGTGTGTTATTTATTACTGGGTCAATTGGTCTGATATTGTGTTGAACTTCAACGCTGGACTGTCTAGACGGGCCGTGTTTTATGTCACTCGCTTGCCCACCCTCCCTTCTATATCCCTGCCCAGGCGCGGCCGCAGATCAGCGGCCGTATCTGACTGACTATTAGTCGTCGAGGAGTTATCGCGATGAGGCGGCAAGATTGGCTGCTTGATCATCTTTCCTGTATTTTCTTTTTTCCTTTTGTTCCCTGTTCGTTTCCATGCGGTTGATCAATCTGATTTTCCTGGCCCTGCCCCTTGGCATTTTTCTGCCTATGCGAACCATGCCCTCGGAGCCGTCAGATATTAGCATATTAGTAGACGCGAGCCAATCACCGGCTGCACAAAAGTGACGAGCTGACCGCATTCCATCACCACCCAGCTTTAGGCCTTGAGCTTTGAGGTAGGTATGATGAACAACGTGATCTCATTTCCCATGTCTCCATACTGTAAAAAGGTGTGGTTGATCACTAATAGCGAAGTACCTCGAGAGGGTCGGGGAGAAACATGGCTCGGTCAATGTGTGTAAGTTATTCATATATATACGTCGATCCATTTTTGTGTTCTCATGAACCCAAACGCCAGATCATCATGACCCAGGTAAAGGCCTGTAATGTCTATTTCTATTCCATTGGGCCGTCCTTTCCGACGTCTAATCCGTGTTCATCCGTCCATTTCATCAATAAAACGTGTAGCCATAAGCGCATCCCCATCTCCTTGCCCCATTGCCGTATTGGTCAATAGTTATATAGACAACCCTGTTAACCTTGAAATGCATCCGAGGTCTCGTTTCATTGCTGCTGGCCAATCAGTGAACCCTGTCAATTGGCCAGTGGCCCCCTGCTCTCGCCCTCAATGTGTATTTCGGCCACCTCGTCAGAGTCTCTATCACTGCCGGTTTTAGCGGGCACGGATATTATGTCCTTACGGTTCCATGAGGTTTGAGCGCTGCCGTCCGCTGCGGGTAGTTGCTCTTGGCTGTCCAACTCTGCAGTCACCGAGGCCATTTCGACATCCTGGTCATCGAAATTTTGAGGTCCCATGCGTTCATCGTCTGTTGACCCATGCTGAACATCGTCGCTGCCGATATCAGCACCTGTAGATCCTTCCCGGCCATTACCGGAAATGCCACTGAAGCTCCATCCTTGAATGATTGGGTTTGATTGGGCGGGGTCACTGTCCGTCATGTCAACGCCTTCATCTTCAATGCTCGGGTGGAGTGAACTCTTGGCGACGACCTCTCCATATCCAGGGAGCTGTTCATCATCGTCATCATCCATGGGCTCTAGAGATGCGATAGCCGATGTGGCTGAGGCTTGGTCAGCCCTGGGTCGAATAGCTGTCGTTTTAATCCCAGTATTTACCGTGCCGTTGCGGGAAACCCCGTTATCAGACTGATCATCTTCTCCTATTTCAGTGTCCGAGTCTTCGTCTTGATTTGGTTTATCAAAAGACTCGAAAATGGGCTGGAACCGTGGGCCTCCCAAAGGCTTGCTTGACCGTCGACGATAGAAGAGGAGGTATGCCGCACTCGTCACAACCGACGAGGGGTCTGACACCTGGCTTACGGACGAATCTGGAGGTCTGGTTAGTACAGAGGTCTTCGCTAGGCCAACATTGCTGCATCTATTATTGTCTCACTTACCATTGTAGTTGTACCAGCGCCCATCCATAAAGTTCTTCGCGTATGCCGTGTAGTGGCCCCCTCCAAGGCCTCCGTAATGGTCATCGACAGCAATCAAGTCGTAGACTTCATTCTGACCATCTGTCTGTTCTATAACACGAGATGTCAGATCGAGGCCATCGATGGGAAAGTCCACCAAAACGTCCAGCTTGTCGCGACGATAGCCCGAGCTGCTGAAGCGTTTGAGATGAGCGACCAGGATATCTGGAGTTTTCCAGAGATCAAACTTCTTGCTAGCTCGCCTATGCTCCTTGCACCGAGGGCAGTACCACATGTCTTGTTCGGAGAGAACCTCGGCCCTTTCAAACTCGTCCAGGCATTCCTCAAGCGTGATGCCACGGGAACGGCGGTTGTTGCGCCTCCGCTGTGAAATCTTAAGGGCCGGGTCATTAAGGGTTTCGGGATCTACATAGGTCTTTGTCCCCTTGCCATGGTCGAGGTCGCCGTGACCAAACACTGTGCCCCAGGCATCCTCGCTCCAGTCCACGACGAGACCTTCTCCCAGTCTGATCAATGGGCCGCCATCGGCAACAGTTGGGGGCATGGGCTGTGGCTTGACAGCAGCAGCGGCTCGCGCGGCCTTTGCTGCTTGTCTCTCTCTGCGCTTATTCCCTTTCTTTCCATATGTCTTGTGATCTTTGAACTTCTTCTTACCACCACCCTTCTGGTGGGCACGCTTTGAAAACTGCAAATATCATCAGTAAGGTGTTGGACTTGATATAAGATCCGGGTTTGAACCTACTCGGGGCTTATCGTCTTCCTCGTCAGTCTGTTCATCCATCATACGCGTCTGGCTAGCTTCAGCCTTCGGGGCCTCGTCGTTGCTACTTTCTTCGTTTCCAGAAGGTGTGCTGGCCCAGCTACCAGGACTGGGCTGGTCGGCTCCTTCACTGTCCTGGGGAATGCGGTCGGCAATCTTCGGCAAGGTGCGGTTGCTGTCGACATGGCCCCATCCTGTGGGAACAGCGCCATCACTTCCATCAACGAAGTAGCTGAGCTCAAAAAGATTCTGAAGCTCCGGGTCAAGGAAGCTTTGAAGGTTGGTGACGTAGGAGGGCCTCTTGTTGCTGAATTGCTTCAGAATCTTTGACTGTTCCAGCGGGTGGTTAGACTGAGCCACGACATTTTTAGTATCCGATGTCATTGTAACATCCACCATATCCTCCTCGCCCTCAACTGACCGCGCTGCAACTTTGCCATCGCCAGAGGAGTCGACGTCTGAGGGGACCACGACGCCATCCGAATCAGCATTATTTGTGTCGTCTGCGTCGTCATCATCCAAGAGTACCGGCCACGTGGAGAATGTTGCAACCTTCTCGAGTACCTTACGCTGAATCGTATCATAGCTCGAGGCTTCCTCACGTGTCAAAACGATAAAGTGAGGGGGAGGATTTGTTCCATCCCCAATTACATTAGGCCGACGATGAAACACGGGAACCACCATTGTTTCGTACCTAGGATCATCCCATTCGGTGGCATCGATTGGTGAATCGATGTCGAGCATGGATCTGTACTTCTTGGTCCTTATTTTACTAGGCCAGTTGGTCGGAACAGCTTCGATCTCATGGATAGTTGGCAGGTCTGTTGACTGAATCTCTGCCGACACATCCTGTTGGTCTTCGTAGATTTTGAAGAAACGTTCTTTGAATTCTTCAGCGCCCATTAACCTGCTGACGGGGACACCAGTACGGGTAGAGATGAATTGCTTCAGGGCCTCGACAGCGCTGTGCTTTGGCAGTTCAACATCAATCTTCACGGGGGCCTCGTTCAGCGGAAAGAACTTAACAGTCCGATGCCACAGGTCCTCAACCGGGAGGGGAAGAGTCAAGTTGTTGAAAGGGTCAAACGTGATGCTTATCTTACCACACTCGGGGCATTTCAGGGTCGATTTATACATCCCAGTGAACAGGTCAGCAATAACCGAGTCGTCTCGCTTCCTAGTGATATCCCAAACCTCTTCAGCCATTTTGCGGATCGCTTCAGGGTCATTGATCATCTCATCGGTGGAATCAGGTTTCTCAATGTATGGCTTCTTCTTGATACGACTGAGATCTTCTTGAAGCGCGTCTAGGAGGAAGCCGAGAAATTCTTGGGAATCCTGTTGGCCCCATCCTTGAAATGTGCTGCGGCAGCGTCCTACTGTAGTCTTGAAGTCTCGAGGGCTTACCGAGCCCCTACCTTCCTCGTAAACCTCCTTCAGCAAGTTCATGTAGGCCAATGCAACTCGTCCATTATAACCGAGAGGATTCGTCTTATTGATCTCCTCTGTGTGGGAATCAGTGAGGAAATACTTGGTCAGTTCCTCGACGCTGCGGACGCACTGCAATGCCGAGTTCATGTAGCAGGTATTTCCTAGGTTGTGAAATCCCACGGCGCCCAGGCTTCTTCCTGGTTTTGTGCGTAGAGCCCGCCCACGACCCGCCCCTTGCGGAGCGGGACTGTTGCGCCCGCTGTTGTTCTTGGATGAGAGTCCAGAGGCGTTACCCCTCGCAGGGCCAGACTTGGCCCCCTTACGACCGGTGTACGTGCTGACCCAAGCGTTCTCAATGGCTTCATCGAGCACAAGAGTCTGATCCGTCACCAGGTTCCAGTGCTGTAGGGTAGAGCTGCCATTGTAGTTGCCGTTTGTTGTGGTATCGGCGAGTTCAACCCTGATCCTCTGGTCTCGAACTTGTGCAAATGAGGGGCTGTCAAGTAGGAGATACGGCCATGTGTTTTGAGGATTGGCGGCATTTTTTCTCCCTGGTGAATCCGGCGGTGTTGGAGCCGAATTGCGCTGAGCAGGTTCACAGGCTGGGAGTGTCTGTGGCACTGAGAACAACCGAACTTTGCGTTCTAGTGGGATGCCCGCCAATGTCTTGACATCCTTTAAGAAGGCATGAGCTGGAGAGTTGCAGCTTCGAACAAGCGTCAGAGGAGGAGGGTTCCTTGCTTTCAGAGTCTGCTCAATTGGCAATGGGCTGACTTCGGACCACAGACGATGAACGCGGAAGATTGGCGGGTGAAACTCATACATCACGTTGGATTCTGACATGGGGTCAGGTGCAGCGTCGATAGCGAAACGAACGATGGGCTGTTGTCCATCTTGCATGCCATACCACTCCGCTATCAAGCCCCATGCGTCCTCGGGGAACAGCTCGAAAGATTCCAGACTGGAGCCAGGTTTCAGGCGAACATAATCTTTTCCAGAAGAGTCTTTAATAACTTCTTCGATGATGTCGCTGTTGTCCACGGGGCCGAGAGGTCTAGAATCACAATCGTCATTGCTATCGCCCTTTTGGCGCGAAGAATCCCCACGCAAAGCAAGTGCTTTGTCAACCCAAGTTCGAGAGACGAGGTACGCCTTATCCCCTTCCTTCAGTGGGGTCTCCTTGGAGGCATTCAACAGTGTTTCAATTGTTTTGATCTGCTCACTGATGGATGGAGGGCCTGATGCGGTGGACTTAGTCACAGTTTTACGCCAAAAACATTCTTTTATGATATTATAGGACTTACTGGTGGTGACCCCTGATGCAGGGACGTCTGGGGGGTCGATGCTCATGGCGCGGGGCAAGCCTCCACCAGTCTGCTGCTCCGCGTTCTGGTTGTTCTGTTCTGCTTCTGGGTCCATGCTCGAGGCTCGGCGCTTGAGAGGTGACGATGAACGCTGGGGGAGGTCGGCATCACCATTCATAATGGCCCTTTTGGATACACGCAAGGGAGAGCGGCACCTTGGCTTGGCGGGGTGCGCTGACCCGGACTCGTCTTCAGCGTCTAGAGCTGAGTCGGCACAGACAGAGGCGGACGGGGAGGACGCTGTCGAGGAGGCGTACTCTGCCGAGACAAGCGAGCTCCCACTGGGCTGGAGCCTGGGGGGAACGCTCGATACCGGGAGAGAATCTGCGGGTAGGTAGGATGGGGTGTTGGGCCCGGAGGCGGAGAAGGAGAAAGCTGGGTCGTCGTCGGGTTCGCAGGAGAGCAGGCGGCCAGAGTCGGAAGAGGGCGAATCAGAAGAGTTTCGGTCCTCTTGCGTCGAGGGCTGGGACGAAATCTTTCTCTTCTTTGAGGAAGCCGTCTTGAAGGTGAGCTGCGGCGGGCAGCTCAAGGCGATCTGGGAGACGGGCGTCGACAACGAAGAAAATCGTCTTGGTAGGTCTGCAGACCAGGATAAAGCTATTGTTGCATCAGTACAGTCGGAATCTAGTGTTCCGGAGACTCAGATTGGAGGATCTGAAGAGTCGAACCAAGCGGAAACAGAAGACTGGGCAATGGGGATCCAGGCAAGAAATGTGCTAGACTGCAAAATATGGCTGAGCAGGGCTGTGGAGGTGGGCGTCTGGTTTGTTGCAGAGGGTGCAGGCGGCAAGATGTTGGCAAGGTACACTGTGGGTCTTGCACCTACGGCTATCTACCTCCAAGGTACAAGGCATGTCAGAGTCTGGGTGAGAGACGGTGAGCGAGGAGTCGGGCACTACCTTACCTACCGCTGCTGGTGTTAGTGAGTCCGCTACGACCGGTCGAGTCGAGCAGCTGTAATAAATCACAACTCACGAGGCGAGGCGATGCTAGTCAGCGCTAGACAAAATTTATTGCTTTTATCTGATGTTTGGCCAGTATACCGACTCGCCATGTCTCAAGAGGGTACATGGGTACCGCATTGTTTCCGCAACAAGAGCTTGCACGCCTTTGTTGATAGGCGGCGTCCAGAGAGGCCTGTAGTTAAGAAAAAACCAAAAAAAAAACCCCCAGAATCAGACAGACGCTGAGACTAGGAAATAGTACCCCCTCCCACCGAGACGGTGAAGAAAAAAGAAACGAAAGACAAAAAGAGCCACTTGTTGCCACACATGTCTTGAAGTCAATGCGATGAACTTGTCCCCCCCTATTTTCTTTATGCTTGGCTGCCCAAAACGATGACAGAAATCTTAAACTTCCCCCGTGGAGCTCAACTTTGCCATTTTACTACCTAGGTACCTTACTACCGGTGTGGCAAGTTTTGATCAGTGCCTTCCAGAGGGAACCATCTAAATCTAGGTAGGACCAAAGGCGGCTAGTAAAGGGCAAGAACAGCCGAAAGAATGATGCCTGCTAGGCGGGATCGGTGTCAACCCCTCCTATGGCGTCCCACTATCCGATGAAGGCAAACGCCCATGAGAATAAGAACTGGAAACAACCTTGCGCAGTCCAGCCCCCCAGTTGTATTCAACCACTGGCACGGATAATTTTTGCATCTATGCTACCATCAATCTGTTCTAGAGCTGCGATGCACACCCGCGATAATAATCGATGTACGGATATTTGCGAGTTAAAAAAATTTAGCGATTAGGAATGACGTACTGTGCGGGCGGGCCCTAGGTACGTAGGTAGGTAGGTAGGCACCTGCCTTAATTACCTACCTAGGTACCTTGCTCCCGGAAGGTACTATAATATACATCGGCAAGCACCCCTCAGAAACTGCTAACCTGCTCCTCCCTTACATGCCTTCGGCCGTAGGGACCAGTGCCCTTGGCGGGGCCTCGATTTCTTTGTCTCTGGTAGCCCTACCTGTTCAAATGACAATTGAATCAGGATTAAGCGTAAGCTGGACAAGTAGTGTGGTAAAATAGCCCTCACCACGGATACAGATGGCATCAAACAGTACATGTAGTCATATAAATCCATTTTGGGTACCAAAGGATCCTTCTACTCACGTGTGTAGGTCTATCTAATACTACTCGTATAAGTCTATCTCCATTGTCGCATCCCAACAACTTCTCCAGCCCAAAAACCTGCCATCAAAGACCCTTTTTGACACGACAGTACCAACGCCACCACTCTCAAAAAACATCATCCTTTAGCTTCGCCTAACCGAGCAATTTATAGCTTTGAGTCTCTATCCTCATATTCACTAAAATCCTTGACCGGACGTGCTCCTAAACTAGCGAGCAGACCAGACTTGAAAGCACGAACATCGGTGATCTCGACCGCTGAGCCCACAGCAGTAGAACCATTGGCAATGTCTCCAGTTTCAGTACCAGAGACCGCTCGCTTCAGCCCACACTCGCGGGCTTCGGATACGATTGATGATACTTGGTCTGCTGGGAGGCCAAGATCCTTGGTCAGATACTTTTCAAGGAGATCAATACATTGCCGCTGTTCTTCTGGAACGTCCTCTAGCCCGGCTTGTTGGAGAAGGGCAATGATTTTGGTATCAAGTTCGCTCGCACCGCGTGCATGCAGGTGAATCGAGATCCGGGCTCTAGTTGGCGAAGATGGGCTTATATAAGTCTTGTAGAACTCTAAGATCTGGGCTTTGGTAAGTGCTTTCACATGGGCGGCGTCGTTTTGAGCTGCAGGGTTGATTAGTTAGTGTCAAAAAATGCCAGGGACCAAATATAAATGTCGGTGACCTACCTTGTTCGAAATCATAGTACTCTCCTGAGATGTGGCTCCAGTGCCTGGATGACTCCTGGTCCAGGTTTCTCAGCTTCTCCAGGCGCTTGATAATGAGACTGCGCTTGTGACCCTCAAACTCAACCTCTGTCATCTTCTCCAGGACGTCCCCAATCTGCACCAGGAAAGCCTCGATTCGAGAATCGAGGTAGTCGGGAGTTCTCTCGCTCTGGATCAACAGACGAATTCCACAGGTTGTGGCAAAGTTGCGCATTCCAGCAAATACAACATACCCCAGCTGCTCCTTGGTTCTGAGCTGATCAAATGCCGGCTCATGAGCGATCTGGTCAAACAATAGGGTGGTAGCTCTGGCCAACCGATCCGCCTTGTCACCAACATAAAGCAGTGTCTCCACACAATGGTTGACATTATCAGGATCCTTCAACGTCTTGTTGAAAATGAAGTTTGAGCCTCGAGGGATGATCAACGACCTTACGATGGGGATCTGATCGCGGGGAAGCGCTCGGGGCTTGAAGGTGTTTTCGATGATCTCTGTCACCTTCAATGCATCCTCGCGGTGCATGTTTCCATGTGTGTAAGTCTCGAGAAAAAATTGAGCCAACACCTGTTTCTGGAACAGCCGAACGCTCTCAGAGGTGATGGAAGGTAATTCTGCGGCCAGCTCCTCGACCAGGAAAGCGCGTTCCGAATTCAAGCAATTCAGGAAATCGCCGACCTGGTGATAGGCTGAATTCAGCTCCCAATTGCTGAAGCCCCGGATAAGCCGCTCCTTGACAACCTCAAACCGTTCATCCTGAATCTCAAGATCCTTCATAGTTGTGGTGACTTGCTGGAGTAAAACGGCAAGCTTATCATTGTATCCGGAGATATCGAGGAGAAGGCCTCTCCCGCCCAGGCTGACGGTATATTGCAAGCCTGCGAGGTCGGCATCGTAGGCGTACTGCTCTAGAGCGTCCCGTACCAATTCGGTAAACAGCCTTGCTTTGACCACATTCTCGGCTGATGCGTAAATGATTGGGCTCCTTAAGCTGACGTATACATTTGCCTTGGGCACCCAGAATGTATCATCCTTCTTCCACCATGTCCTGGCAAGGCTATCATTGCGAAGCAACTTGGGCGCTATAGCAGGTTGCAGAACATCCTTCTTCTCCACCTCAAGTTCTTTGGGGATGAAGTTATTCTTGTGTGGCAGGTGAAGCTCCGGGTAGCGGTCTTCAGCAGGAATTGTGAAGGCAGTCTCAAAAGACTGCAAAAGATCCTCCGGTAGCTTCTCATATCTATACTCAGTTCCGTACCACTTCTCCTTCTTATCCCAGTCCCCAGGGAACTTTTGAGAGACGATAGTCATTCTCAAGTTGTCAGGGCGGAGGGTAGCCAATGCCTTTAGGATGGATTTCGGATCAAACGACCTCAATCTGCTGCTTCCACTCAGCAGCCATTCACGAGGAATAGGTTTTTGCATCACTGATGCAGTTCTGCTCGTGAAGCGGCTGGCTGGAACTTTTTGCTTAAACCTGAAATCGACATCGGCCATGCCCTTCTGCTCATCAAAGATCCACTCCTTGGGGGACGATTCTCGTAGCATCGAGATGTACTGGAAAATAATCTTCACAATTTCTGGATACTGTTTCAGGCCCTGTTGATGGTATATTAGTACAAGGTAGCGTGAGAGTGATCATTGTTATTAGCGTGAACATACCTCCTCAGTCAATCGGATAGAAATGTCAAAGAAACCAGGTGTGCCCGGGCAGACGGGATATGCACCGGCGGACAGGCTGTTGGCCCATCCTTTTGATTTCACGTAGGCCATAATACTTCCAGGCCCCTCATGGCCAATGAGATGGCTTAGGTATCTGCTGGGCTGGGACTCATAAAGGAGCTCCTCGTCGATGAATGGGAAAACCAGGTTCAGCTCACGAGAGTCCATGACTGGTTTGGCAAAACACTGCATACCAAGATCTTGCTTCTGGAATGGAACCTCTGTATCCCAACGTTGCTGGGGAAGTTCTTTGTTGACCACTCCGGAGAAGAATTCCTCCGCCCACTTCTGCAGCACGTCAAGCGACTCACGCCCCAACACCACCAACTTCATCAGGTTGGCAGAGTAGTGTTGGCTGTGAAACTCGATGAACTTGTCACGCACATTAATCCCTTTGGCTTCCGGCTCTGTCTTGAGAACCTCAAAGTTTCCTGTCGAAAAATGGCAGTACGGATGCCTGGGATTTGATAGCGACTTGTCCAGCTGGTGAAGCCGCCAAGTATCATTCTGCAGATTCTTCTTGTTCTCAGAGTCAACAGCCTTGAGCTCTCGGTCAAGAGTGCTCGAGAGAAAGAGAGGCTCAATAAAGAACTGGGCGAAACGGTCCAAAGCGCCGCGGAGGGGTGATGGGTTTTCCTCTGTTGGCTCTCTGTCATCAGCAGGTTTGGCAGCTACTTCAAAGTAGTAATTAGTGGACGTCGAGGCGGTATATGCGTTAGAATTGCCCGAGTTTGATGATAAGTACTGGCTGTAGTCATTCTCTACAGGGAACTTCTTGGTGCCCATGAAAAGAAGCTAGATTATGCGTTTATTAGCTACAGGGCGACGCTGGCTGACGAAGAAGGGAGACGCTGGAGGCAACTTACATGTTCAACTGCATGAGCCATACCCGGCATACCCTCCTCGTCACTAAAGTTTCCGACATTGACGTCGAGGGCGGCACTGGCCTTGTCCGTCTCCGGATCATGAACTAATAGAACCTCCAGCTGGTTTGCGAGACGGACTACGCGATAGTTGCGATCATCCACTGATGGCTTCTCCAGGTTGTCGGTGAGCAACACCGCATGTGACGGCCTGGGCGCCGAAGCCGGGGGATCAGAAGGAGGCATGGCTCGCCAATTGTTCTATAGTCGATGGAATTGGCAAGGAGAGCTGGGCGGAGAGGGGGAACAGGAGGGGGGAGATATAGGCGAGTGAAGACAAAGAAGTGGCAGATACGGACGAAACGAGTTTCAGATATGAGTTGGTGGGATAAACTGTGTACGTCGGGCTCGTTGGCTGCACGATATTGGTGTCCCCCTAGCAGTATAAAGACGAAGGGATCCACCCGCACTAAGTCTTAGATGCTAGTCCCGAATCCAATCCGATGCTTGTGTGTTGCCCCCCTGTGCGCGTGTGTTGATCTTTGTGCGGTGTGGGATGTACTGTGGGGGTGTTTGTTCTGTCGCCAGAGTCTCGGATCTCTATGCTGGAGGGAGTGCAGTGGGTGCTCCACGCGGAACCTTGATGGTTGTCGAGGCGAGGTTGCAGGAGCCTCCACTGAAATAGGTATCGACGGTTGAGGCTTCGAGGTAATCAAACGGAGTTGTTGGGGTTGGAGGAACGCTTAGCTTTGGTTTGCTTCTTCGACCATTGGGCCCTAATAAACTGTCTACTGGTTCGGGATTCTTCTCTCTTTTCAGTATTGCGGACCGAGGTGGCCGGAATGGCATGTGGTCTCCTAATTGGCTTTCATTACGTCGCGATGTGAAATGAATCAGTTTTTTTTTTTTATTTCAATTTTTTTTCTTTTTCGCCTCAAGCAGAATTTTCACGAAATTCATTGAGGTAAGATAAGGCAGTGCCTACCTTCCTTACGTACTGCAGGTACCTTCTCGACATAGCGACGGCCGTTCTTACCGCCACCATCGTAAAACGGCCCAGGTGGGCAACGCTTCAAAGTCTAATACCGAGAGAGTGGCAGCCTCAAAACTACTAGCCGTCCATTATGGTTGCTTCCTTTCCATCTCTCCCTCTGTCTTTTGGAAAATTCCTCGCAAACCAAAAAGAGGGTTGTCTCCCTTCCTCTTCTCTCCCTCCCGCCACCACATCTTTCTTTGCTTTTTCCCCCTCCCCCTCCCACCAAAGACGGCGGTTCCTGAGTACATGCACCTGCCGTGGCTTAGGTAGGTACGAGGTAGGGATATGCCTGCCTTGGTAGGTACATGCCAATTCCCTTCCCTGACATTGAAGTTGTTGTACCTGTGCTTTGCATCCGAGAGCATGCCAGGGGGTCCTGCATGGCGTATGGATTGCGTGTTATTGAGTTCGCCATGATAATTGGAACATGGAGGAATGCAGAGGCTGCATTTTACCAAGTGGAATGTCTCTGCTCTGTTCCTACATAGGTACCATCCAGGCACGATGCATCAACCTGCAGGTTCGTTCAGCAACGGAACAGGTAGTGGATAAGAGAAACGCGAGTACCTCCACTATCTAAGTATCTGCCTCCCTCTGTGATGGCTGAATTTATGGACCTTGCTTTACCCCTTGGCCGTATTCCGCCACCTAATTGTACCTAATTGGGCACGCTGATATCGTGCTTGTGGACCCTAGCACTTGGAGGTCGCGCGGGGATTCGACAATTGGTGTTGTCCTTGCATCATCCGACCCCAGATGTTGAAATCGCACGCTGATTGGAATGACGGTGTTCGCGACACTTGCTAGCATGATTACTGTCACGACTCATGCGCTGGCTACTCTCGCAACCATGCTCCAACATGGCGGATGCAAGGGGCTCATCATGTTCTTTCCAAACTATTCTTTTTTCTTTTTCTTCAACTAAGCCCAGTCGACCACTCCTCAGCCTCGTAATCAGGATTCTTCTCTACGTCATTGCCAGAACCACTTTTAGCAGCCATGAGTTTCCGCTCTAATGTTTCACGATATTCGTAATGAACACTGGCTTGTATATTAGGCAAGTAGTCTTTCTCGCATTACTGCATTTCTACAAGCCGGCGAATTTTCACCTTGTCATTCATTACGCATCGTGGCAACTTGTGCCACCGGCACACGAATATGAATCCGACTATGTTCCACTAGCCATTTTGATAGATCGTGTCTTGAGTCACGGGATGCCGAGCGCCACCAGCACTCGAATTCCGGTCTTAATTCTGGCCTTCTGGAAACTCCCAATCAAGCCGGTGGGAGACAACAGCGTGTTCTCATCTTGCTGGGCGGCGGTCTGCGAATGCAGCCCTTGGCTCCGCCCCCTTGCATGATCCGGATCTTTTGCCATTCGGCTTTGCATGGATTATTATCGAGAGGCTAGTCAATGGCTGGCCAATGTTGGTCACATGGTGTAACGATTTCACAACACACAGGGTGCTTCAGCTCCGTCTTCGGCCGCGTTCTGGACATGAATTCAAGATGGTAGGTGAATTCGTTAATTCTGCAAGTGTGTCATTTTATTAAATTATATGGGCTCGGCAACGGTATTTTTAACCTTCATAGGCGAGGTCTCGAATTTGCCGTGATACGATGAAACCGTGATGATTTGTACCATTCAGATGCGAACGAGACAGTCCTTATCTGTCCGATCGAGAGTGTATTCATTGGCTCCAGGCCGATAATATTGCTTGCAGTGTCTTGCCCACCGGCACCTGCGCATCGAGCTTGTCCTCCATTGATAGTGGAGCACACCCATCCAGCATCTACCGACTTTTGAAGAGTACTATCCAGACGCTAACAACGAACATTACGACCCTACCTTCGCGCTTCTAATGGGGCTGGGCCCCAAAGCGTATGGGTTATTGTGCGATGTCAAAGGTTTGGATCATTATGAGATTGCTGGGATGAATCATACGACGTAACGAACAGAAAGCTTTGCAGCTAATGAGACGCACATGACTAGATAGGGCGGCTCAACTTCTTTTCTTCTGGCCCTTTGAGCTTGAATTTGGGCAGTCAGAAGCTCTATGGCCGACTTGGTGGCAGTTGTAGCATTTCAAGGCCTTGTTGCGATTCGAGGCATCGCCGCCTGAAGATATGCCACCTGATGATATGGAGGTTAGCTTACTGAGCTTGACCTCCTTCTTCTTCCGCTTGTCGCGGAACTCCTTTGCTTTCGAGTTTTCCGGGTTCTGTCTGGGGTTTGCTGCTGGATCTTTCCGTCTGCGTGAGAGTGGGCTATTGCCATTTGCATGGCTGCTGGGTGAATCGTCTGAATCCTCGTCATTCGAAGAGTCGTCTTCTGAATCATCTCCCCCATCTGATGTGTTTTTCTGGCTTTGTTTCTATAACAGAGGTCAGTTCCTTACTTGTGGAGAGGTGAGGACAAAGCTGTTGCTGTTCGGCTTTACTTACATCAGCTGGGGCTTGCTTGTAGTTCCGTGTCGAAGTTCGCCCGCATTTAGGATCATCTTGTGACTCATCATCCGATGAATCAATATCGCCGTATCCAACGTAGACAACTTTGAGTGGCTGTGACTGCGGTTTACCAAGGGGTTTCTTATCCCAATTAGTATCTAAAACCCAGCGAGTGTCAAGCCCGGAGTGTTTCTCTAATGCGGCCTGGCGCTTTGCTTCTCGTTCATCAATTGCCGCCTGTATAGAGGCTTTGTCGATATCCGCGATGAGCTTTGCTTGTGCCGCCGAGTTGTGGCCAAGCTTCCGTTTCTTCGCTGAATGGCCGTCGGTGTCGGAGCCTGGTGTTGTCGGCGACGATGCTGTCGCAGCGGCTCTTTGCATGAATTTCATCGTCAAGAGCCTCGAAGAGACTCCCCTGGGGGTTTCTGGCGCCATGATGACCGTATTATGCCTTCTCAGCGACGAATGCGCACGTATGCTACTTCTTCGCAACTTCCAAGATTTGGGCTGCAGTCGGATTTCGTGACGGGCACTAAATTTTGTTGCGGCATTGGGCGCCGGAAAAACTAAAAGTCCGCACACATATGTCGCAGCGGGCCTTACTGCACCATCTTCAGCCGTCCCGGATTGAGAGCCGGACGACCGCATCACAACTCCCACGCTCTTCACATACACTCACTCACAATGGCTTCTTCTCAATTGAAGGCCGTCGGATCCCTTGCTCGCGGGCTGCGCGTGTCCTGCAGGGCTTTTACCACCACCGCCCGCCAATTCGAGGCTGTGCCCACGGCCGCAAAGACCACCTCCCCAGCTGTCGCCGATGAGTCCAAGCCTGTCGAGATCAGCCAGGCGCCCAATAGACTGGGCGTCTGGTCACGAAGCCAGAAGCCGCGATCACAAGCTATGACCGGCCCCCGCTTCGAACAGACCGACTTTTCCGTCCAGGTACGCGAAATCACGCCGAGGGGAAGAGGTGGAGGATGAGCTAACACCTTGAATAGCCTCAACCCAAGGCTGCCATCGAATTGATTCACAAGGAGCCTGTACGATGGACGCACGATCGAATTGTTGCCTGCGATGGCGGCGGCGGTCCTTCCGGACACCCCAGGATCTTCATCAACACCGACAAAGCTGAGATCGCCCCCTGCAACTACTGCGGCATTCCTTACGTGCGTACCCTCGTTGGTCCCGTCACCACGGAGTGTAAAATTTGCTAACCAATGGACAGGCTAATGAGCACCACCGAAAGCACCTCGAGTCGCTACCTGAGACTGCCTACCCACTTGCATGAATGCCAACGAAATAGAAAGAGGAGCTGGATAGACAATGTTCATCGGAAAGCAGTGTATTGTTGGCTCGGCTAAAACCTAAATCAATTCCTTATATCGTTCAGATATCTGAGGAAGGAGTGTATATTTTTGCATCAATGAAAGCACTTTTCTGAAATCTGCCGTGCATGCTGCTCCCTAGCCGTCGTCATGGCAAACTGAGGGGGCGCCTTAAAAAGCATATTACTCTTCTACAGGGCGTTTGACATGGTCAACAAGATTCCTGGTGTTTAGCGTTCGGCAAACGCGCGCTCGACTGACGTGTTGGAGTTGGATTGATACTGATATAATGGTATTGCTAATTGCTTGGACCTCATTTGCTTACCCAGAAGGCCCTCTTACCTCTAAAAATGCTACAGAGATAGTACATCTCGGCAGCTGTAGACCCACATTACGACATCATTGCTCCGCGCGCTGTGAAGATGCCTCAACAATCCCACACAATCTCTGTCGGCACGACTCTTCTGTTTACCATTTTCCTCTTCGTCGCCTTCTTCCCTGGTCTATTCCACTCCATCTGGACCATCCCTGCGTATATTCTTCCATTTGCAAAAGCTCCCTCCGAGCCTGTCGCACCCACGACCATGACCTGGTTCCAGAAGCAGTTCAGCCTCCAGGCCAAGTCGCGCGGATCTTATTTGGTAACGGACCAAGTCCTGCAGGCCTTGCCTGAGATCAGGAGCTACAAGGTTGGACTGTTGAATCTTTTCATCCAGCATACGAGCGCCGCCTTGAGTTTGAATGAGAATTGTATATTATATTTTCCGTCCTACACTCATAGCAAAGCAAAGTTCTAATGGTATAATCTTAAAGTTGACGAGGATGTCAGGGCAGACATGAGCGACTCGCTGGACCGCATCGTCCCAGAGGCAGGCCCCAGAGGCGAGGCACTGTATCGTCACGAGTAAGCCCTTCACTCCCACTATGCATCCGTATTTCATAACTGATACATGGTGATTTAGCGCCGAGGGTCCTGACGATATGCCGGTACGTCTAGCTCCCGATTCCCTGCTTGAGAGACCAATCTAACAGAACCGTGTACTAGGCCCATGTCAAATCTGCTCTGATCGGGGCCAGTGTAACAATTCCCATCAAGGATGGAAGATTGGTGAGCTTTCCCGTGAAATATGTCATCCGACCTTGTAGCTAATGTAATCGAATCCAGGCAACTGGCACATGGCAAGGTATATACTATTTGGAGTTCCGGGCACACAGGCAGAACCGTCGTATCGTGGCCACTATTCAAGGGGAAAAGGCGTAGGATCTAAATCGGCATGGAAGTGAGGCTAGGCAAGGAATGGGGCTGCAACCGGAGCAGCAAATATATTTTTTTCAACAACGCCAAACACCAACGCCTGGCCATCTCAGGTTCATAATCAATTCAAGCTTGCACCCCGTTCTCTTCCTTCATGTCTGTGTCATCACCGGCCAGGACCTTGACTTTTGGTACGTATCCGTCGGGGGCACCAGCACCCGGCGTGGAAGCAACAATGTTGTTGTTCTCGTCAACGAATTCAAAGTTGTAACGGCTAAGCAGATGGGGGATAGCGGAGAGCTGCGGTCCGTATCGCGCGGTATTGTCGTAGAGCTCAAAGAGCGGCACTGCAAGAAGCTTCATGTTTTTGGGCACGCTAAGCACCTCTGCATCATTCATTGTCAGCGATCGGCTTCGCGAAGAGGGGGAACAGATGAGCAGTAGAGCTCTGGTGGAGACAGACTTGTCTTTGGTAGATGAATGAAATACGCCTTTTTGCACTCCTTTGGTCTCGTCACATGGGCGGGGACAAACGGGTACATGAAGGTCTCGAAATTTGGTCGCCACCACTGAGCGAGACATTCACCGACTTCCCAGTCGCCTGCTTCCTCGCCCTCTCCTAATCGGCCGACTGGGGCAAGCCTTTCATCGAGGCGAGACTTGAATCCTTTAATTTCATCATCTTCGGGTCGGAGGTAGTCTCCAGGGAGCTTGAAGAAGGCGTTGGCGATTTGTAGCATGAGGATGTGAGGGTGGTTGTGCTCGTGGCACACTAGGATACCCTCACAAGTACGTCGCATCCCATACTCAGCATAATGTTCCTCCAGGCGCTTTAGTCGAGCGATTACGGATGGGTCTTCCTCCGGTTGGGTTTCTTTCACTCCGAAGGTATAGTTGGAGAGCGGATACAGGGTGACTTTCGGAGGCTGATTTGCGTTGAAGGGCAGCGGGACAATCGGCTCATTGCCCGACTGGAGGGCATCCTTGGTGATTGTCGACATTTCGCTTAGTCCAGGGCTGCTTCCGATCCTGAAACTGTTGTTTGGGTTGGTTGGCTATTAAATTATTCGGTGACCTGAAAGGAATCGCATGAGCTCTAGCGGCCGAGCTACGCGAGAAGCAACACTACAGGAATGGCAGAATCGAGTGTTGTGGAGCTCAATGCAGTAGGCGGTGAATTCGAGGTCAAGCTGAGCTTCGAGCTCTAACAATTGCCCGCATTTCTTATTATCAGTGGTGCTTGTTCAACAAATACAACCCCGCTAACTTGCAATGAGAATCCCAGGCTACAAACGATTGTGTTTGAACCACCCCAAGCGTGCATTTAGGACGTAAGGAAAATATCATAGATTCACGCTGTTGATCCTGCCGTCTATTCTCCGCCCCTGCAACGTTTCGTTGCCTATTACTACTAAGGCAGCAGGTGCTTTAATTTGCCAGTTAGCATCCGCGTAGATTCTTTCCTCCTGTTAACAGTTATACAAAAAAAGGGAGCGCATGCGAATAGCGACTGCCTTTCTTACTGGTGAATCTACTGAGCGATGTGGTTGTCAGGAAATTGGGATCGTAAAGAGGTTTCGGAATTCTAACCTTCCAAGACAGGCCACAACCTAGTACAGAGACAATGGCTTAAAATATTCGCAAATTTTCGAGATCAAGTATTATAAGTATACAATAAGAAGTACTGTTGATTGTGAATATCAGTACTGTGTCACTATCACTCTTTTGTCTACATCGGTGGCTTTTGCAATCCCTGTTTCTCTGACAGCCACACAATACATGACGAACCACGTCAATAGCTGATCTTGTGCGGGATTGGATTGATTATCATTACCATCTTAACTTCGGAGAGTCGCTTCCATTGCGAGTGGCAAATTAGTGTTATGTGGCAATCTTCAGCACAGAGTTATGATTCTATCAAGTGTTTTTGGATATCCTCTAAGCGCGGCAAGCTCCGTGATGTTGAGCTGGTTGGATACCTACTCAAGCGGGGCAAGAGGACCCAGAATCAGTTCAAAATGAATCGGATACTGATAACACCAATTGAGAAATGCATCACAGCATGTTGAAGATAAATGTCATTACATGGCGATAATGGAATTGGCGTTCATTGAATCCTTAGGATTAGACCCCCTGTGTGCCAGCTGATAGAGTTCTCCCAGCAAATGCTAGGCAACCAGGCTGATCTGATGCTCGTGCTCAACATCGTGGCAGGGGTGTTGGCCCTGGTCTGGTGTTCCACTTCTTTTACCCCCACGATGAGAGCGCATCCCAGCGGACGCGGGGTCCCAAGTACACAGAGGTACAGGAAACCGTCGACCAGACACCAAGACGAGGTGCCTCTCTCGAGGTATTTACGTGGTGCTGATGAGGTGCTTGAACCCCAGGGATTTCTTATTTCTTCATCGACGCTCATACTGATAAAAGGAGGGAAACAGAATGAGAAATCAAGCGGAAGCTGGGGGGGACAGCAAGTTTGAATCTGGACCGAGTCTATTTATTTGTCAATTACTACTGCTTAACGAATGCCAACCGATAGGAGATACTTGGACATCCGATGGAGAAAGCAGCATGTATTACGATCGGATCAACGTGGCGAGTTTCTTCCTTCTATAACAGGTGGCCAGTGAGTTGTACCTGCTACTTCCAACTTTGTTCGTGACCAGAGGGAGCCCTTTTAAATTACTTGATCACGAAACGTAGACGGCCTGGAACTCGAGCGAGTGCATTCCAGCCACCCTCCATTCCTTACCTAGGTAGTTTATGCAGAGCTAAACTAAATATTGGCTTTGCGCTCTTAGCAAGCTTATTTGCGGAAGACGGAGGCCGATATGGCTCATTTGAAGCTTTCCAATATGTTGACGGGGATGTATATCCGCCACGATCAAGATGATATGTGAGAGAACGAGCTCGGAGATTAATTTCTTACGCTCGATTCATCAGTGTTCGAATCTTACCAACTCTTCTAGTCAACATTAATGGCATGTACCAGGTACGGCACAGTACTTCGGCGCCTCGTCGTGCACGGACCACACCAGTCGGATCACAGAGGCCACAAGCACGCCTCCAGCCTCCAGATAATAATTACCTGCCCTGTTTGCGCTGTTTGCCCTCTCCCCGCTCGCATCGCTCACCTGCGCTGCCGATTACTGGCCGTAGCGTGATAATAAATGGCCCAGGTACACTATCGTGTGGATGATTAGTAGTGCCTTGCCGGTACCGTTAGCACCAAAGTATTTTAACCCATGTACCATGACATCTGGAAAAATCGCACTTTAGAAAGGCGGCGAAAACCACCTTCGTAGATAGGCGCCAATTGTCCCGCCCATCTCCCATTTTCCCTCTCAGCTTGACCCGAGGCGTGCGCCATGCTGAGCCCAACTGCAAGGAGGCTGCTCATACCGTTTGCGGGAGTTCCTATCACATCTTGATCGGTATCGGCGCAATGGAGCCAACTCGGGAGCGCCTGGTTCAGAGCCTCGAGCTCAAGCTAGGCGATCTCGAGCACAAGGTTCAGGCCTACCGCCACGAACTGGTTGTCGAATTTCAGCACTACTACGACCAGACGCTCAACGATGTCACACCCGCTATCGCCGACGAGGTCGAGCGGTCAATCCAAGCATCGCTGAGTGACAGATATCCAGCTCTCAGCCCAGAGCTCACGCTTGCTGGTTTTCGTCCTGCTCACGCTCACCAGGCTGACTCACCTGGGCGATCATCTCTTTCCGGCCGGCCTTCTCCGCCACCCGCCGTATTCGGCCCTCCCGTAGCCGCGGACAATTCCCATGATCGAGAGCACGAGTTCCCGGGACTGTTTACTCCCTTTTTCCTCCCTTTGCTGGAGAGCTCACCTCCCGTGCCCAGCTCGCTGCCAGCAATTCAGTCGCTGCCTATGCCAATGGTAGAAGGCAGTGGAATGGGCAATGATGCTGGAGCACCCAGCTCAGCTGATCAGCAGAAAGGGATCCAAGACATGGAGGGGCCCAGCGAGACCGGGGGCCACGCGCAAGGCACGTCACAGGCACAGGCACAGGCACCGTCCGAGTCATCAGCGCAGGCAGCCTCGCAGTCCGCCGCAAGGCGACCAAGCAATGGTCGACGTGCCACCGATGACACACCACTCTCTCCAGGATCTGATAAAAGCGAAACCAAAACACCACGAAGCGCCCTACGCCGGTCATCTATTTTATCCAAGCAGTCTCAGCCAAGTCCTCGCCGAGTTCGCTTCGAATTCCAGGGCGCTGAGGTTCTACCCACTGCTTCGCCGCAAATCGGTGATCCTTTTCTCCCACGACTGACTGCTCCCGGCGCATCGGACAATACGCGATCCTCTGGCGAGATCTTGGGCGACGACATTGGAGAGGACAACTCTTCCTTCAACATAGGACTCCCGCCCCGCAAGATATCTTCCTCGGATGCCCTGAGGGCTCTATCACGGGCGCCTTTGGACGAGGGCACTGTTTGGACTGTTGTCAACCCAACCGCATCTGACGAAAACACTTCGAATTCTTCAAGCCCGCTATCGGCTGCCCCAACCACTACTGCGCCTGTCCCAAGTGTGACAGCTGAAGCGACGATGGCGGCAGCAAATTCTGCGGCGGCCAAGGCTACCGCACTACCAACGACGATAAAGGCACCCGAGACAAATCATAGCATTACTACAACTAATAATTTGGAAGGCATCAATCAGGGGGCTGAGAGCGAAGACTCTTCCGACGAAGAATTCCTATCAATGGGCCAATCTCGCTCATCAATAAGTGAAAAGCCGAAGGAGACAAATGCGAAGGAGGCGCCAAAAGAGAATGGGGAGAGACTGGAGCTCATCAGCCCGCTGCCCACAAACGAACCCAGCTCCACAACCAAGGCTGTTGAGGACAAAGATTTATATTCTCCAGACGAATTTGAGTCTGATGAGATGTTCCTTTTCGAAACTGGTGGCCTGAGTGCGCCTCCACGACCACGACAGCCAAGACCACCCAAGCCTGAGTCTCCCGAACAGTCACCACCCCCTTCTCCTCGCAACAGATACAACGATATCTCCGAACCATCACCTTACAGTAAATCGCCTGCCGTTGCGATTTCAAGGCCATCTGGCCCAATTACACCTACCTCAGCAAAATTCGCTGTTGGGTCCCTGGGATCATACAAGGGGCGCCCTGTGGTGATGCCAATTGTGAAAGATCCAGATTTGCATGCTCAAGTTGCTTCACTTGGGAATTTCAATACGTTCGTTGGGGGGCTGGATGGGCGCACCGGAGTTGACGAAGGTGACCTGAACAGCTTTCGGGCAAGCTTAGCCCAAGGCGACTTCTCCGGAACCCCCCGCAGTCTGACTGAGAGAATGATGATGGAGGAAGCACGTGGCGACAGAAACACCCGGGTTTGAAGAGGGTGAGAGGATTTTCTTAATTTACTTTCAACAACATCTTTCAAATCATGGTGGTGTTTTTCATGGGTGGGCTTCCGGTTTCGAGGTTTACTGGTGTGTATGTAACGAATCCGATATGGAATGCATTCTGGCGGCGTTTTTGTTTGCACCCGGGGTGGGTGGGCAGGCATTTAGCAAGACAAATGGCTACTTGGTCATGATTTTCCAAGCCCTTGGAGAGGGGCCACGGCTCCTGGAGTAGAAATGTTGTATTTCATTCTGTATTAGTCTGTACACGAGCTTCAGATTTATTCATTAGCTAAAAAAGCTTGTGATTGTGATGAATACAGTACACCTGCACAGCATTTCTCCGTGTAAAATATATTGCGTTATTGCAAACACATGTACTGTTCATGGACCCCCACGATTTCACCAATTGAGTCCTTACTATACTTACAGAACATATAGTTCAGTAGGAATGTTGCCAGGCAATCCGTCTTATGGTTTTCATCAGTCTCCGAGAGGCGGGTCCACCAATCCGGAGGGCGGGTATTAGTCATCCATCCTGAAGAAATGGGCGTAATTGATGTCTTATGACGGAACATCAGGCTATCGTTCAACAGCAATTCAAGGCAGACAAAACCTACGATTGGAAAATCGGAAGACTCGTGCAAAATGAGCAAATTCGGTCTTGAACTTTTCAAGGTATCTAAACGCAATCTGCATCCTTACACAAATCATTGCCGCTGACCACAATCCATTAGTTCGGCACATACCTCTCGTTCCCCATTGGGATCATGTACTATTTCGGAACGAACATCGAGGAGCGCTTCGCCGTCCCTGGCTTCTGGCCATCTGCCGAGCAGTCGAACACTATCCCAAAGGACCGCGATGAAATCAGGGCCGAGTACGACCGAATTGTTGCACGACAGAGAATCAAGCAGGCACAACTTCACGAGCAGAGGGAGCGCGAAGCAGCGCTGCAAGCCCAGACACAGCACGACGAGAATTCTCACTAGACACTGTCTCGTTTGGACATGAAAACCAAGTATTTGGCCTTGCCCGTCAATGACCATGGCGTGAGCAGCTTAATCAGACTCAACGAGGTTGGGATGGCGTTTTGATTCGGTCTCGGATGCCCTCGGTCATGAAAACTACTGTATCTATTTATGTTGTACACTATGAATCACGGTGCTCTACGCTACCTAAATGTCTAAATACCCGTTTACTTTTTCCCAGACTTCATCCGAGAGGGATCCTTGACGAACATTGACGTATATGGCCTTGACTTCAGGAAATTCCTTAAAGCCTGATAGCAGGTCGCCCAAGTTCAAAGCCGTCGCAGACGATTCCATATCGACCATGGTATCCTCATTGGGTGCCCAAATGATATCAGACTCCATCAATTCAAGACCAAACTTGCGCGAGAGAACTTCAGTAACCGATGTGAGCATGGCGGGCTCCGTCCAAGTCACGAACCCACCTTCTGGGAGCTCTTCGATGTCTTCGACTCCTTCGTGCTCGATCGCTTCCTCGAAAACTTCCGACAGCGTCGGCCCACCTTCCTTTGCCTTGAAAATCGTACGACCTCGTTTTGTGAAGTAGAATGCCGATGCACTCGCCACTGCTCCGCATCTCTTCGCCACCAGCTTCAGGTCGCTTATTGTGCGTATCTTGTTATCCGTCTCGGCCTCGGCAATGATGGCGATGTTCGGTGCGATGAGCGCTTCGAGGGTCATAGGCTCGAGCTGGGCGCCTGATGTTGACCGGCCTTGCCCTCTAGCCACTGCACCCTCGATAATCGACTTTGGAACACTCGCTATAATAGCCCAATAGTTAGAGAATATTGCACATGAATGCGCTGGATTGCTTACCCTTTGTTGCAGCCGCAATCGCCCCAGCTAATTGCGGATTGAATTGCAAGTTCTCGCCATACATCCTCGAGTACATGGTGATGACCTTGACGAAATTTGTCCGATCAATCATCTTCTTCTTATCAGTGACAGCCTTGATATGCTTTGTCTTGGACCACTTGTTGTGCCCTGCTTCTAAACGAGCCGTTGTCGCAAAAGATCGTTCTCGACATCGTCGGCAGATTGAAGTCTGAATTGGGTCTGCATCCCAGAGGAGGGGTTTCTGCTGGATAGTTGCTAGACGCCGCAGCGTCTGCCTCTGAAGGATCATCGGATGTTCAGCCGCTTCAAGCGATCTGGTGGCAGGACAGAGAGTTCTCTATGCTTCGAGGAGCTTGAGCTAGCATCTCATAGGTACTCAATTAGTGATTTTCGCCAAGTTCCCAAACCCGCTATGGTCCGTGCTAAGCTCCAGCGGCTTTGCGCTGGGGTGTCCTGCTAATGCCCGGCTCCTACGTGACACTGACGGCGCTAATAGCGTTGTGGAATCCCACCTCGACACCGGTATTTTATAGGAGGGACGGAACGCCTCCGCCGATAATTGGGCACCCCCCTACGCAGTACAACAGGCGCCATCTTCAAAGGGCGGAGCTGTCCAGTTCGCAACTACACACACACGACACCCGTAATACACGAGAACCACGAAGTACGTAGGTGCCGGCACCAAAGAAAAGTCACCCGATCCCGATATCGAATGCCATGTCCTCCTCTCAGGAGGTGGAAGCTCCGGCTCCGTCACCAGGCCTCCCGGAACAACCAAAGACTCCCATAGGCACCACTCACAATACAGACTTTGATCTGCGCAAGATCAGCTCTCTTCCTTCCGAACAACAAGAGCTGTTTCTGCTCACGGCTGTGTCGAAGCTGACGAAGCATGTCCTTTCCCTGGACGCTGACGGCTGCACTGCGCAGCAGCTGTTCATCAAGCGAGACGTCTTCCAGGTCATTTCATCTTCCCCGGCGCCATCGAGAGTAATACGCAACAACCTCGGGCGGTGCTTGGCCCACGTATTTGGAATTGGAGACAGGAAGCTGTTGTTCGAATCAATCAATGAGCTGATTGCGATCCTTTCAGGGGGCAAGGTCAAGACGGAGAGCGATGTGCGAACCAAGCATGCGGCCGTCAGCTGTCTTGGCGATGTGTTTGCTGCTGCCGGAGACAGCGCCGTCGGCCTGCACCAGCTTGCCTGCTCCACCTTGCTGAAGCTTCTGAAGGCATCGTCCAGCAATGCAGGACTCCGGGCTGCCATCTTTGTGTCCCTGGAGAAGATTGTAGGCATGGTCAAGGGTCTCGTGGACGAGGTAGCTGCTCGGGACATCTGGAGGCAGGGGCGCAGCTATGCGACGAGTGATAAGGGATCCTTGGTCCAGACTTCTGCTTGCCGCTGCTTGAAAGCTCTTGTGCGAGACACGACCTACTTCCGGAACTCGAGCGATTTTGACAAACTGGAATCAGCCATGGTCAAGGCATTCGATGCTTTGTCTGTTCACGTGCGACAAGCTGCTGCGGACACTCTGGCGGAGGCTCTATTCCAGGGGTACTCAGAGGCGGCTGCTGGGGACACGAAAGGCAAAAAGGCAAAGACTAAGCTCAAGCGATCTTCGACACATCCAGCAATTTCGGGGGCAACAGAGGACGACGGTCTTCCCCCTAGGTCTGGGAGCCCGGCGCCCGGTGCCAAGCGTCCGAAAGATCTTGCTATTTCGCTGCGTGATATGATTTCTATCCTTTCTGGGTATTTTGTCAAGTCAAGCTCTTCGAATAGGGTCCGTGGTGCCCTCGGCGTTTGCTGTACCCAACTTCTCCATCGATTAGGTGAAAGGATTGTCGAGAGGAACTACATCAAAATAGTCGAATGCCTGTCAATTGAGCTATTGGGGTCCAGTACCATTAGCAACCATCGGTATCGTCTGCTCGTTTCTCGACGCATCGTAGATACCATCATTCAGGATGTCGTTGGCCGCAAGATCCTGGGAGAATCCAGCCAGATCGTGGCGGCCAAATCCCTAATCAACGACATTTTGAAAAACTACCCACAGGTATTGGCTGAGAGGCCAGAACCATCCAAGCATACGTTGATCACAGCATTGAGTGCTGTGGCTTCGCTGATCAAGTCGCTGGGATCAGCTGCCAACAGTTTCGCAGACGCATGCAGGGACGGCCTGCTCCAGGTTTTGCAGCATCCGAGTTACTCGGTACAGGTATATGCTTCATATTGCATGAAGGTCTTCGTCGTGGCCTGCCCTCAGCAGTTGCTTCCCTGCCTCTCAGTCTGCATGAACAGTCTCACACGAGAGCTGTCCCTTCTTGGCAGTGGGCGAAACTCTCCTAGAAGGTGTATTGGATTTGCCCACGGGTTGGCTGCAACGCTGAGTGCCAGTCCATCTCGCCCACTGTATGGCTCCCTAGATGTCAACAGTCGTGTGTTGACGATGGCGACAAATCTGCTCAAATCCAGCGGACAGTCAGAGCTCCGTGTCTCAAGCACTCAAATCCAAGTAGCATGGATTCTCATTGGCGGCCTGATGTCCCTTGGACCAAATTTTGTCAAAATCCACCTATCTCAACTGCTGCTACTGTGGAAGAATGCGCTACCCAAGCCTTTAGCCAAAGACAATACCTCGGCGAGAAGCTTGCTCGAATCGTCCTTCTTAACCCACGTCCGAGAATGTGCTCTCGGTTCGATTCTCTCGTTCCTTCAGTTTAACAGCCGTCTATTGACCGTCGATGTGTCGAAGCGTATCGCGACAATGCTCCAGAGCACAACAGATTTCTTAAAGACTCTGCCTTTGAAGAAGACAACAGAAGATATTTCTCAAAGGTTGACACGAGCATTGCAGCTGCAGGACTTGGACTTGATGGTCCAACGTCGTGTTCTCCAATGTTATATCAAGCTTGTCAACCTTAGCCCTGCGGGTAGCAGCGAGTCTCTTTTGCAGTCTAACCTTCTCACAATTGCCATCTCGCTGTTTGCTGACCCTGACAACTACCAGCCTAGCTCCCTGAGCGCGTCAATAGCAAACACGGCTGCCACATTCGAATCCATATGGGACGTGGGTGATAACTCAGGGTTTGGTGTTACCGGTCTCGTGTCAGGATTCGATGTCCGGGACTTGCCTGGCCAGCATGTCAGCTCCCGCCAGCAACCCCAAGAATATGATACGCCGGAAGAAGCCATCCTCAACGCGGCAAAGACGCCGGTCTGCGGTAGCTTAGAGCACGACGCATGCCTTCTCTACGTAGAGGGCATCAATGAATCGTCGCCTACTTCAGATCCTCCAGCTACCGAGGTCATCAATAGCGCGATCCAACTTTTTGCATTCGCTTTCCCTTTGACGCCAGCTAAGGTCCAAGAGAGTATCCTGGAGCAGATCAAAACATTTGCCTCAACCGGTTCTCTCCAAAGAGATCCGGGACGGAAAGCAGCAATTAACATCAACCTAGCGACGGCTATTTTGCTGACCATGAGGGTTTGCGTGAAGGAAACCCAGTCCCCTGCCGGAAATATCTCCAACATGGCGGTCGAGAACCTTTTACAAGATATAGTGCGAGACTTCGTACTTGATACCGATCAATATGTACGAAGCCTTGGTTACGCGTCTGTGGCACGTCTCTGCAATGTGTACGGGAATGCTTTCACCAACACTGAAGTCAAATATCTCATTGACACCATTGTTGGCAACCGAGAGCCAAGTGCCCGTGCTGGGTGTGCAATGGCTCTTGGGTCAATCCAGACTAAAGTAGGCGGAATGGCTGCCGGGTACCATTTGAAGACTATTCTAAGCATTCTCATGTCCCTTTGTAACGATCCTCACCCTGTTGTTCACTATTGGGCTCTAGAAGCTCTTTCCCTGGCTTCTGATGCGGCCGGACTGAGCTTTGCTGGATATGTGCCAAGTACTCTTGGGATGTTGGCCCAGCTATATGTTTCTGAGACGCATCACTGTGAAGTGTCAGCGACGATGACTATGAATCTTGAGATGGAACTATCCACTACCTCATCAATTGCGAAGTGCACGGACTCGTTGATCAATATTCTTGGTCCTGACTTGCAAGATGCAACCAAGTCTCGAGAGTTGATTTTCACCCTCATTGGCCAATTTGAGAACGAGGAAGACCTTCGTGTGCAAAAAGCAGCGCTAGGCTGTCTGGAACATCTGTCCGTCTATGCACCAGGCCATATGCATTTTGGAGACTATGTGAGGCTTCTCCAGAAGTACTTGTCTGTCGAGAACATCTCACTCAGAGACTCGGCCATTGACGGGCTATACAATCTCATGCGGAGAGAACCACGAGATGTCCTGCGGGAGGCCGATGAGAGCTTTGAGGCGCAACTTTGGTTGGTCCTCGATACTGTCCCTACTCATGATGGAATCATGAACATCATCCGCAATTGGGCGCACCAGACATGTCTTGCTGAGACAGGCACATGGATCCAACGATTCCAGACTGTGTTAAAGATGACCCGAGCGCGAAACCAAAGCGAAGATGAAAGCTCGAAATCCAAGGGGGCTGCTTTGCCCGATCTGAATGACGAGGAAGTCGCAGGCTTCGCTTCTGCCGGTGGTGATGCTAAGCAGCAAAAAGAAAACCCTACAACCTCTGAAGTTGAGCCGCTCCGGTGGCAGGTGACGGCATTTGCACTCAACTGCGTGAGCGACTTGTTCGTAATAGTAGCCAAGGACGTGATGGCGCATGGGGAGAGCGAAGGCCAAGCCTCATTACAAGCCAAGATCGCTGATGTTGTCCGCATGGCCTTCTCTGCATCTACAGGCAGTGTTTCAGAACTTCGGATCTGGGGATTGAAGCTCATTGGGGCCGTGTTGCGCATGTTTGGCAAGGTTCCTGACCCAGATTTTGATGAAGCCATGCTTCTCGAGCAATATCAAGCTCAGATCAGCTCCGCATTGACGCCGGCTTTCGCCGTCGACTCCTCTCCAGAGCTCGCCGCCGAGGCGGTAAACGTCTGCGCCAGCTTCATTTCGATAGGAATCGTCAGGGATGTTGAGCGCATGGGTCGCATTCTCAAGACACTCGTGAGCGCGCTTGAAAGCTTTGCACAAGATGGCGAGAATGCCGGGATTGGTGACTTGACCGGGCTGAGCTCCAATGCTCAGGTCATGATCAAGCTCTCTGTTTTTTCGGCATGGGCCGAGCTACAGGTGGCCAGCACGGAGCAGAAGTACTTGCACGATGTTCTAAAGCCACACATTGGGACTCTGACGCCGCTGTGGCTCGAGTGCCTGCGCGAGTTTGCTCGACTTCGCTTCGAGCCAGACATCTCCATGACACTTGGGCCCCCCTCACTATCTGGAAGCCTAGACACCATCTACGCTGCCCTCAATCGTGAGACGTTGTTGCGCTTCTATCAAGATGCATGGCTCAAGTTTGTCGACGCGATTGCGAGCCTCATTGAGCAAGACAGCAATTCGGTGTTCGATGCTCTCGATGGCAAGGATTCAGCAAAGCAAGAAGTTAGCACTCAAGTGAAGAACCAAGGCATTAACTACCGGGATGAGCCTGTGGCCTTCTTCTTTGTTCTATTTGGCTTAGCCTTCGAGGCACTTGCTATCAGGCCTGGGCACGGGGACCCTTTGGCTTCTCAGGAGCAAACGCTTGAGATTCTACGAGCCCTCAAGAAGATTTTACATCCCAACGTATCCGGCCATGCTATTTACCGCCCCGATGTCTTCTCCGAGACTATGGATCTCCTCGATCGACTGGTACTCACTGAAGGGCTGGAAGTTCAAACGGCCATCATCGACATCTCCAGCGCGCTCGTTGTGGCTCACCCTTCCGCAAGACGTCACATTACCGATGAGGCTGACCTGTCAGAAGACATCGACCAACTCTTCGAACTCACCAGGATCATCGTGCTCGTCCTCACTGGTCTCCTACCAAACCTGTCTGCAGGAAATCAACCAGTTAGGCACCAGATGAACGAGGAAGCAATCTATCTGATTCGTACCTCGTTGGACGCCCTTGTAGATGCAGCAGAAGTGTTCCCTTCAGTCATTAAAACAGACCTGCACGCTTGCATCATCCATATATTCGCCACTACTTTGGCAACATCTGGCTGCCAAGAGTTGATTGTACCGCAGTCTCTTGCAACACTCAAGCGATTCGTCAAATCCATGGCTGCCTCGCGAAGCTCGTCTGCCGAAGCCGCGAAAGCTACAGACACCCAGCTACTAGGTTGCATACGGCGTTTCCTATCCACCTACCTCAACGCACAGAAGCGTGAGGCCCCAACCTCCTTGGCTTGCGTCAAAAATTGTCTCCTGGCCACCACTATCCTTTTCACTGGTGGAGAAAACCATCTTCCTGCATCTGACCCACTGGTTGCTCGCTACCTGGATGAGGTTATTGACTGTCTGACCGACCGAATGGTATGTTTCTCTACCCCTCACTTGATCTCTCATGTTGCCACTCATCTTACTGCTACACCGCATCTCGCTTTTCCCCTTTCCTCGACGCACTGCCAGTGCTTGTGCATTAACTAACGCCTGTCAGACGGCCAAAATTGCGGCCAATTGCATCAGGTCACTTTTGGTACAACCGACACGTACGGCCGCAGATCAAAGCATCGCGCGTTATCTCCTCCCCCGCCTCATCACTTTCATCATGAACGTAGAGCCCGAAGATCCTGAACAAGCCAGGACCCTGGTCAGCCAATCGATATGCCACTATGTCGCCACCGTTGAAAAGCAACGTGTGTCCGCTGCCATGGCGTTAGTCATTCCGGCACTTCTTGCGAAGACCAATGCAGAAGGCCGGGAGGCCTTCGAGGAAACAAGTGCAAGGCTCCTTGAGCTCGCTGCCGTCGATCCTGTAGCTTTCCGCGCGATCGTAAGCGGCATGAGCAACAACCAAAGAGCGTTCTTGGAGGAGATCATCAGATCTGGTCAAGAATCCACACGTGCGTCAGACCAGGCTTCCTCGGCGGGCGTAGGCACGCCAAGTATCGCCTTGAAGATGAATTTTGGGGGCTAGATCCGATACCATGTCATCCTGGCTATCTCAGATCCGTGGTATTCTCCGGAGCTCATGATGACTGCAGCCGAGACATGCATAGTTTTCGCACGCTATGATAGCCAGCCAGTTTCGGAGGGTTGCAGGGNGGGGGGGGGCTTCGATGCAATCAGACGAAAAGCGAAACAGCTCGTCGATGACCTCGCTTCTGCCACACACCACACCTCTCAGATAGGTCCAGGCTTACGTGCATGGGACGTGTCATGTCTCGGGCAGCAGAAAGAATAGCCAACTCAGCTCAACCGAGTTGACGCTCTCTCCTGACGAATGGGAGAATAGTGTCCGAATTTAATGCCGAAAATTCTAGCCTATTGCTAATCCCGGCAACCCTTGCAGACACACCCTGTGCTCCTTGACGACGAAATCATACGAGGAGGGGAAAGGAGCAACGGTGGTTGGGCACAATAGTAACAGGTCAGACGCGCCACCATGCGTGTCTCTCGTTGATGGGGGGGTCAAACCAGTCACGACTGGCGGGGCGGTCTTTTTGCGCACCAATATGCGGGAGGCGAGAGGCGAAAAGGCTCGAGGAGGCTGAAGACATGCAGCTGAGATAGTGGAGATCTGGGGTTACGCGAGCATGCACAACACCCATCTAGTACGTTCTTGTAGCCAGCGGGTAGTTGCGAATCGAGTCTAAAGTCCGACCACCTGGTCCTTGTATGCGTCCTCACCGACTTCTATCCAAGTTACTCTCCCTGAGCTTGCGCCCGTTTGATGGATTCTGCCTTGAGCTGCACCATAACGTACACGGATACATGAGGTCGACTTGCAGGTATGAAGGGGGCCCAAGCGTGTTTGTTACATTATGCCAAGGAGCCTAATGCGGTGCCCATATGCATGTTGCCAGCCTCATCGGCATCCCCTATCCAAATGTAGACCTACCTACGGCTGCTGCAACGTAGAGATACACTCAGCTCACACGGGCGCCCTTGGGATGAAAAATTCACGCGTTTGATTGAAGAAGCAAAAGCAAAAAAAAAGTCATTATTGAATTCCAAGTCGTTAGATTTCGTATCAAGCCAGTTCATCATATCCCCCGTCTTTGATCCAATCTGAGGGGGGAGCATTTGTATGATTCAGCACAAGAAAGCACAAACGCCAACAGTCCAATCCTTGCATGTGAAAGCCCATAGCGAGTGTGGTGGGGTTTAGGAAACAAAAAATTGTTAGTTCAAGCACAGAAAAAACAAATAGACAATAACAGCAGCCTGGTAAGGATCGTTCGATAGGTAGCTATCTATGGGGAGGTAGAACGGTTAAAAACAGCAACAGGGGATGAATGTTCCTGGAATTCTTCCCTCACCCCAGCTATATGAAGCTTTAAATCAACAGTAGCAGTAGTGATGGTGGCATTCGTAGCGAAACACGAGGGATAAGCAGAGCTGAGGGAGGGAACACCAAGGACCGTGTATGACGGCCACTCCTGTATAGTCGAAAATTTTCAACGCTTCAATGCTCGCGAGGGCGTGGTCGAGGTTGGAGAATTCTTTTCACTGTCATTGATAAGCCGGGCAGTGACAGCTGTGCCCTTGTACTCCCTGTTCTGCAAGAAGTCCACAGCCTTGGCAGCTACTGAAGCGCTCCGATAGACTACAAGTGCATATCCACAGATTTGCTTCTTGGATGACGAGTTTCGGGGGCCAGACTGCCTAGCAGGGACATCTAGACGACGGATGTTCATGGCAAGTGGACCACAAGTGTCGAAAATCCAGAATCTGATTTCTGACTCGTCTGCATGCGAGCCGAACCCTTTTACCAGGATCTTGCGATTCCCGGAGTCAGGGGGCGTGGCTAACTTAGCAAGCATAGAATTGTTCGAGACTGCAGGACGCCTAGCCGAGTCGTCTGAACATTCACGTGCATGTGAAGCACGGGGCCGCTGGGGGTAAGACTGCCCTCCGCCAGTCAGAGCAGCGGAGGACGCAGGAATCTCTGTATTCATAGGCAGCAAATATCCCGATGGGCCGCTATTGGGCGCCGTGCTTGGGGCGGGCCAGATCTGGTCTGAGTTGTTGGTTCGTACCGGCTGGGGGAGCAGGGATGTCTGTGAGTGTGTGTACGTCCGTGGCTGGGATGGCTGCATCTTGGGGCTACGGTAGTTGCAATCGCAGGAGCTAAATCGGTGATCTTCCCCCATCTGTGGCCAGGGGCCAGCTATGACCGGCTGACCATGCCCCGTGTGATGACCTTCAGGAAAACGCTCTTTGATCGGGAGGGCGTCGTAACAGTTCTTGGCTGAAGGGCGGAGGTCTCGATTCTGATAGCCATCCTTCAACAGAGCTGTTTATTATGAGCAAGGGCAATGGTTAGCGTTGCCTTTCCAAAGGGATCCGGGTGGACTCACCCCATGCTTTTTCAAAGTTATGATGGCCTTTGAGTCGGACCCATCCCGATGTACTCGCGGGAAAGATCTCGACGCGGTCGACTTCACAGACCTGAGCAATATGGCGTTTTAGCTGCTGCCAGGGTACATGTGGTGGTATCTGTATCTCGCCAAGCATGTCAGAAAATTGGAGTATGAATTGCCAACCAGGCAGAGCCAGGGCGGACACAAACATTGCAGAAGGTGATGTAGTAGACACCAGTTACCACACCTGGATCGACCATCTTCATGCGAGTCTCTGGCAGCTGCCCAGTCGTTGCCGGGTTGCTACTGATCAAATGAGGGACAGGCCCCATGGGACGCAATGGCAGGGGCATCTAGAACTGGGTTTTCGGATCTGGGAGGATTGTTGGTTGCACCGGAGGTGTGTCCAAGGGCTGTTTGATAGGTGACCAGGAGAGGGCAGGAGGGAAAAGCTGGCGGAAAGCAGAGCGCAGTCACTACAGAAAGGATGTGAACACCGATCTGGGATGACATGAGCGAGAAGTGATCTCAAGTTCGGACAATATCTCGCCGGGGGGGTCCTTTTTATGCTCAAACTTAATCCTGACAGATCTGATGAGGACCAGGGGAGCCAGGAAGAACAGAGCTAGATCTACGAGCCAGCCACCCCTCCATCCCCCTTCTTTCTGAAAGAAGCGAGTAAATTCCCCAGCCCAAAAGAGTATGTCAAATCTCTTGTCGGCTTTGGTTTCCACGGCTAGTCTCGGTCCATATGCAAGATCGCGGTGGAACTGCCTCCAAGGCGCCAGGAGCCTACATCCGCCACACGCAATATGTAGCTTGCTCAAAGGAGGTGAGGTCCCTCACCATGCACCCCCGTGAGAGTAGTAGGACATTGAATTGGGTACAGATAGCGAATCAGCGAGTTAGACAGTTGTGAAAAGGATCTATTTCTATGCAACTAGGCCTGTCGCGGGGGTGGAAAGAACCTTCGGTTGACGAGGAAAGAAAGGTACCACCAACCGAGAAGCTCAACCTTGTAGACTTGGAAACCGCACGTATCCACGCTTACCAGTAGCTCCAGGGGAAAGTACTGGAGATGAGCGGAGGTGTAGAGAAACCAACCGGGCTAGCTCTCGAGACAGCGTCTCCTGCGCCCTGCCGACACGATGAAAGCAACATGACAGGTCACAATCCGGGATTATAGTCCCAATGAACCTGGTCGCTTTGTGCTTTGTGTCTCCGATTCAACCTTGCGGTGCTCAAGCTGAAGATCGAGACCAGGATTATGCCGTTCAAGGGTCCCAAGCCCCGGTCTTGCCCCATGTAAAAACCTATCCAGGCTTGAGCTTAGAGATGATCCTCGGGCATACAATGTTTGGATGTACCCTCCTGTCTCCAAGTCCTCTCCAGGGTCCGCTCAACATCGAGGCTGTCCTGCACGGGTGTGTGCAGCTGCAGCCAAACCAAAAGAGATACACTCCTCTTTCAACCCTGTTTCTTGCTCGCAGTCAAAGTGCAGGTCTTGTTTGGGAAGCTACACCGAGGCGATTATGCTTTGACGCAGGAGAGAAGAGGAAACTAATCAGCCACTGGACACCCCCGCATCCTCGTTCTGCCCAACTCCTTTGACACTTCGGCTCTCTCCATCAACCAGTTCTACGTAGTCTTCCGGAAGAGGAGAGGAAGGGTGAGACACTACAATTTGTATCCACACACAAGATAGCAAACAGGGGGAAGGGGGCAATTGTAGCTAAACGGCGAGGGCACCCTCAGGCTCGCCAAGTGGTCCAGGACAACAAACGGGATAATCGAAAGAAGCGTAAGAAACTTGAAGACGTTTAGCTATGCTTGAACGAGAAGGTATCCTCCAACATAGAACCTTCGTCCTCTAAAGTGATGCTGTCTCTTATCGACTCGACGCGGCCACGAATGGATGACAGGGGTTGTCGCGCTGAGCTATCCCCCCGAAAGAAAGTCTCTGTATCTTCCTCCCCATTAGCCGCCTCATTGTCCGTCTCGGATAGTGACAGAAGACACAAATTCTGCCTATCTGTGAGCAGTAGTTTTGGATCATCATCCTTCGAATCTATCCAAGTTGCCAGCAATTTCCCAACCACCTTACCGTCTGCAAGCTGCTCTTGGAATTTGACGAATCCAGGCCCATTAGACAGCGGATCCCAGTGGAAATGGAGGTTCACTTGTTCGACGCTACATGTAACCAGAAGCAGTTCGCGAACTGACGGGTGCCAAGCTACATCAGCCGGAGAGTGGAACATGAGAACTGCTCTTAGTTCTCCAGCAAGTAGGTCCCAGACCCACACTGTTCCTGGGTGCTCATCCAGTCTAGTTGCTAATAGAGTACCAGAAGAATCAAATGAAGCCACTGAGCAGCCGACCTTCAGTTCTGTGGCAGATTTAACATCCTCTGAGGCCGCCGGAGGGGCGACATCCTGCGATGCACGAACGAAACAAGAGTCGAACGAGGAGCTACCAGCAGAATTTTGGCGTTGCTCTTGCCAGACCTAAATACAGCAATCAGAATAGGTCCCAAACCATCACACTACGCCAAAGTAGGTGGCAACAAATTGGAAAGGGACAAGGTTGGGGATTCCCTAATGGCACTCACCTGGAGGGTGTCGCTCGGTACGATGGTAACAGGATGGACCAAGGTTAACTCTTCCCTCCAAACACTAGTATTCAAAACAGTGACCTTTCGGGTGTGGTCACAAAAGGCACACAAACGCGAGTCTGGACTGAAATGACAAAGCTTGATTCCCACGTTCAGTCGTGCCGCTTCATCGTCCACTTTGTCAGCCCCTCCTAGGTTTCGGAAGAGCTGCCCGTCCGGAGTATAGAGCAAAATCCTCCGACCTTGTGCAGGCGAATCCCACAATAGCAGCCATGAGCCATCTGGTGACCACACAACGGCTTGTGCATCCAAGGTCGCAGGGTACCACGATCTCTCCAGCTGGCGGGTGTCGGGATGGTGAATGCTAACAACATCTTTGCCAGCAGATCGAGTCAAAAGAGCCAAGTGGCCAGATCCCGTACGTATAGAAAACCCGCGTTTGACAGAACCAGGGAGGTGAAACTTGGGGCTAGGTATCTCGACCGCTTTAGATGTTAAGAGATTGAATAGAAGCACCTTCAGACCAAATGGGGCGAAAAGGATGAGTTCCGAGTCATTTGCACCAAACTGGATATAAGAGGGCTTCCCTTGGCCAGCCAGTGGATTTGCGATGCTAGCATGACATGCAGAATCGGTTACAGAAAGGACTGCAATGTGATCAGCCGACGCCGCCAGGATCCTGGTCGAAGAGGGACCCCATATCAAATGGATAATGGGACTCGACAGCTCAAGTGGCAGCTTCGAGACATTCAGCGATCGCAGCGTCTTTACGGACCGGATCCGGATCGAAGACCCCTCCAGTGTTGCAATCAATTGTCCATCCGGACTGGCACGACAGTGTGTTGAGGCTGGTCGTTTCATATTAGCCATACATTGTACTTCAGCTTGGAAACCCGATGATGCGATAGGAAATATCGACCCTACATTTTATCAATCGTGAATAGTGCATCGTGACCTCAATCTTCTATTGTGAGATTTTAGGTGAGAATCTCCCGTTGGGGTGCACTGACTGAGATCGAAGTTGCGATGTTGTTGATGTTTTCATCCCGCAACCACAACAGTCGGACGTAGAAGGAAGAGGAGGTGGTCAAGGGTGCAGTCCTCTCGAAAAGGTGTTTTTGACGTGGAATCCATGCAATTTTATCAAAAACCCAATTTCAGTCCAATTTCAAGGTGTCGTCAATTGAGTCGTGATAATTGTCGGGCAGGCGCGACACAGGTGAAGTAAGGCACCCCTACCTTGAGCCCACGGTGATGACTAAGGCTCTACTTGGCAGTCACCTCTCCAACTCACCTCCTCTTTGATCCCAAATCAATCACTCCGAGGTGCAATGAGACAATATGTCGCTGATTTCATTTTGTTTCGAACTGATGAAATTTCTTTAATTTAATCTAATATTTCAGGGGGGGGTTGTTTTCAGATTGTATCCGATTTATTCAGGGCTAAATATATTTCTTATCGTCTGGTTTAGTAGCTAACCTAGGGTTGAGACGAGGACCGACCACACTCCTACTTATAATCCTTTCGCTACCATGAGTTTTTGCTTTATCTTGAACATAATTTGTGGCTGTCGCCCCCAAAGGGTGAATTTGTGATCCTCCTCCATAATCTCGCGCCTAGCTTGAGCCATCTCCTACGGTTTGTAGATACGATGGATAGAAGCCCGTTTGGTGTCGACCACAGCAGCGACCCAAATGCCGTATTAATCGGATGTTTACTAAGCAGTTTCTCTTGTAATGGTGGTTAGTGTGCGGGCTTGTCACATCCTCCACTCCAGTTCAATTATCCGCGAGATAGTTCAAAGTATGTTCGTTCAGTTTTTCACTCGATGGGGTACTAACTTGGCATTTGTTTTGCACGCTTTCATTTGCCATTTTATTGTCCTTGTTTGCCCCTACTTCTTCTCCATGGTCTTTTTATTGTTCTTAGGGCGCGGGAAGTTCTCCAATTCATAGTGAACGCATTTATTGGCTTAGAGTGCAGTAGCATAGTCCTAGTTCATGGTGTGTAACATTTCGGGTATTGTCAAGTTGGGCTGAATTCCCAAAACAGATATTTCAGTGACGCACGTTATGACCAAAAGCCAAAGAAAAAATGACCGATCGAAATGGAGGCCTCAACTATTGCTTCGCCAAGTCATCCAACATCAGCTGGGCTCAGTATCATTGGTAGCGCTATAGGGTGGCAACTTAGTTAGCACCGACGTAAGAGGACCATCATTCTTTAGCCCCTCCTCCATCTCCAACTTCAGCCATCTTATCTTACTTTTCGCCTTGGATCCCGCTCTCCCCGCTGCGGCACTCTCAACGACGACGTGAACAACCCTTCCAATCAATAGCATAACTTTAAAAAGTATGTTGGGTTGCTAAGGGCCGGTTTCTTCGCGTAGTCGGAGTGTTCATCACATCACCTAGTGCCTTTCATTCATCCATACTCTGTGACACATCTACATGTCGAAATCGGATCGCACGAGGGCATGACAGGCTTCCGACTGTCGGCACAAGCGACACGGCTAAAAGCGAATATAGCCATGTATTCGACTAGAGCTGGCCTCCCCTGGGCACGCCGGGCCAGACCATCATTGTGCACCGCCCTGCGAATCGCTTCCCAGAGCCAGAGCCGAAAGGTTTCAGCAGGGCTTGGATCAC